TGAAGCTCACAAACTGTAAATGAGAAACAAAGTCGGTCTGTCTTTTTATGTCATAGCAGCACAACAACCCCAGACAAACAGCCCCACAGACGGTAAGTTTATTACTTCTGCTTCTCATACTTCAAATATTAAAAGTTTATTTCACTTACTAAGTTTATTTCACAATAGTGCAGCTCCATGTTCTGCATATAAACACACGCACAACCCACAACTCGTCCATTCCCTCTGACGAAGGGCTAACGCTCGAAACGTCAGTTTTGAAACTCTTTACGGTGGCCAATTTACATTATCAGCTCAGTTGACGAAACCAAACTTACGTTGTTATACTCCCCCACCGAAACACATCACAGTTTATTAAGAAACTTACCCACTTAATTCCTCCGTCCTCTAAAAGGTTTCGTTTAGTTTTGGAACATCGCCCAAAGTTATAAATTTACATTTTCATTTGGGGTTACAACTAAATGTTTAGATCTGGCTATTGTTAATTCCATCGTATGGCATTTCACTTTCCATCAACAGCAAAAGATAACATATAGATTTAGCCAAGCCTAAAAGCGGAGCTCCCAATAAGTGAAAATTTTGCAATAAAATTTCTTTACATATATTGATATAATTCGGGACGACAGATTTATTCAAAACAGTTTTTGATTTGCTGTTATAAGCGAAAAATGTACGAATTTCTTACGTGTACAAAGCCCACACGGTAAAATTCATCGTTGTTTACTTCCCTCCAAGGCCAGAAATTGCGCAGCGTTATGTTGAAAATTCTGAAGAACTTCGATTTGACGCAAAATCTTCTATTACACAATACTTTTTGAGCGCATTCAGTTTGAGAGGTTTCCACAGCAAATCTGCTTTCTTCCTAAGAGGCTTCCTTATTTGTTCTTCCTGCCTGCCACTTCCTAAAAATCTTCATCGCCCATTTTTTATTATTATTATTTACCGAACGGGTCGACTTTGGGACAGCATTTTCCATTGAATATTTTACTTTCTTCCTTCGTGCTTTTTAGCTCGCGAAACGTTTAGTTCGAAGCATGTGGTGTGTCATGAATTGTTCATACAGTCCAAAACCACTCTCAATGATAATTCTCACAAGAACTCTCAGGGTGACTTCATCTGCGTGCTAGCATCTTCAAACTCATTTGTATAACACGAATTCAAAACAATCACACCAGTACGCTAAACCAAAAATTATCGCACGAGTGCGCTAAACAAACAAGTTCGCATATTCCCTTGAGATTTTCGCTTTTGAAGCCATTCAACAAACTCACGGGTCGTGCTTTATCGGCGATAAAACACCCCCACTCGGCTTCTTTCCCTTTTCCGCCATATTTGATGTTCCATGAGATACACAATGTAACGTGCGTTCCGATATCACGTGCGATTTTGGCCGCGCGATGACCGAGACAAATTTGAAGGCAAATTGCACGAATTTTGAAAGCAAACAAAAACATGTTTTTTTTTTTTTAATTTTCCGGCACTTTCAAAGCATCAAGTCGTTTTCTATAGATATCCAACTACAAGAATCAAGAGAAAAACTTTCGTGTCATATGCACTTTAAAAAGTACGTGTAAAATATAAGGCATATAAGGAAATAGAAATAAATTCAAAATGGACTAAATCAGCGGTTTCAGATGAAGAAGACCTCACATGCGTCGCTGCCTTAAATGGCCATTAAACTCCCTTGATCAGAAACCGATTGCAGCTATGTCTGTTATTGAAGTAACAGGCTACAATCACTGGCAAGTTATTGTGATTAGTGTTCACTGTACTTCCTATAGTTTCAGAACAAAGATACTAGAATAGGAAGAACCTCCTTCCTGCTAA